TATTGTCTATCTGATTATCTCTTTATTTATTTGTTTATTCAAGTGGGTGTTTTATATACAAACCGTATTACACTGAATTTCAATTTGTTTTTTGATGACTACAGAAAGGGTTTTTTCTATTTAATGATCTGGCTAAGCTTTTAAGACTTTTATTAAACTATGGGATTTTTTTATGCTAATTATTTAATGCGAAAATTTGTTGATGTCGGCAAAAAACCGTTAACTCCTGCCTATGGTTTAATAATTTTTCATTATTTAGAAACTTAATGATATGTAGTTTTTCGTGTAGGCATAAAGGGCATGGGTCATCCCAGGTTTTACAAGTTCTTGTTCTATTTACTATTTTCCATTTTACTTTTGGTGTTTTATTTGTTTCTTTTAGATGCTAGAAATATTGGGATAGAGATGTCTGATTTCTATTTTGAATATTGTTGAAGAAGCTCTTGTGTTGTCTCCATCTAATTTTAAAATTATTCTTCGTTGAGCCTATGTATATCCTATCAGTGTTAGGACTCTCAATGGATAAGATAGTGCATTGGTATACCACGGATTTTGTGAGGCATTTATTTTCCAACGGGCAGTCTTTACGGTTTCTACAATCACATAATTTTTCGTTATTTTTATCTAATTTTAGTTTATGAGTTTTATTACTGTTTTGGTATGCGTGTTTTTCTAGGATTTTCTTATTATGTGTTTTTATGATTCTTTCTAGATTTTCAGTGCAGCTGTAACTCAATTTTAAGGTATTTTTGTTAAAGATCTCGCTAAGTTTGCTATCAGCGTGAAAGTGCTTTTCAATTAAAGCTAGGCCTAGTTTGGTACTGACCATTTGGTTGTACGGAGGGGTATACCAGATGATCTTTCTTTTCCTGTTTTTCTTATTATTGGTACTATCGTTTCTATAGGTTATGTCAGCGTTTTTGTATCCGCTATTTTTCAGGGCTGTGTTATAAAAACTACTGTGTTGTTGGAATATTTCCTTATTTGCTGAATTCATACTTATTCTTTTCTCTATTGATGTGGGTATATGCTTAATTATAGATGGAGGGTGGTTTGACTTGGGGTGTACATACAGGGGATTAGTATTAGGTTTTCTGTAAGGTAGGTGAACGTTGTTCGTTAAGTCTAGGGTTACGTCGAGGAAATTTACTCTTTTTAATTTAGTGTTGACTATTGTTTTTAAATTTAGTTTTCCGAATTCATTAAAAACAACCTTCTGGTGCGACACAGAGAACCAACTTTCCTTCCGTTAGATGTAGCTATTGATTAAATGTAGCTGTTCTGCCTCAGGTCAGTGGAAAACGTGAGACCAAGAATGCGCAGTGAGACTCTCTCGAGAAGTTGAGCATCAGCCTGGCGGATAGGAACCAGGGAGGTTTCTCTATAGTAGGTAAATGAAAGTATGCGATGGTAAGTAACTGGTGATTAAAATGATTTTTAAAGAAATTTAAAAACTTAGTGTTACCACTTTTCTAAAAGTTAAAGTTGAGGGACATAAGGTTAAAATTAAAATAGACTTTTGGGTATGTCTTTATTAACCAATTAAACGTCAGAAAAAAATAGAAAGTTCAGAGAGTGGTGGTGGCTGAGTTATTTTTTCATATCATGATAAATCGGAACATAGACAGGTCGTCATTGACGATTGTGGAGAATATGCCAGCGACAAATGTATCATGATTGTAGATAAATATGACATGTTAATTTTTTTTTTTTTTTTTTTTTGCTTAACTCCAGTGACCTTACGGGAACCTATGTTTACAACGTGATATGGCTGTAAGCCAAATCAACTGTGGTTTGACAAGACCTTCTTGCCCAATACACGCGACGCATGAATAAATAACCCACCGACTTTCAAGCCAGATATGTGGAGGGAAATCGTCAGGTCATGAGCTGCACAGAGACCCTACGAACCCACCCAGTCTTGGGACTGATTATGCTGCTAGCTTTTACGTAGGCTCGAACACTTGGCCGCTGAAACGCTGTAAGAATATGCCACTATTTCAGCTTTATCGACTATCTTAGAAACACGTAAAAAGTGCATCCACAGATCTGCTGATTCGAACAGAGACCTTCTTAATGGATATTGTTCTTTTTTTTTCATTTGTATTATCTCGTAATTCATCCTTTATTGTTCTTATATCGAAAGATAACCTCTACGCCTATCATTTAATTCTGTTTAAGTTGGTTTCTTTATCTATCCTCTGGTCTTTTTTTTATCATTGGGTTGGAATCGGTGAAATTGAATGATCCGATCGATATTCGAATCAATACTTGTTCTATAGAGGGTGAAACTTGTCGAATTGAAACTTTGATTGCTTTGACCCTTACCGAAATCAAGCTAACTTTTTTTTTTATAATCATTTCCAAATCACTTCGATCTAGGATCGAATATATCTATATCAGTAATGCCTCGGCCGTTCCTTTTATGTTAATATTTGTTCAGTTTACAGATTTTTTTTCATTTAAAATTTCTTGATTTAAGAGCTCTCATTATGATTCG